GGGATGTGGCTGAAAGACAGCAATAAGAAGGAGCCATGGAGTAGCAATAGAAAGGCTGCTGAAAGAGTCAGGAGCCCAGAGAAGGGGGCTAAGGAGACGGGGCAGAAAGTGGAGACGAAAGCAGACGACAGAATATTGCTAGAAAGCAGGAAAGGAGGTGAAAGACAATTTTAGAGAAGAAAAAGAACCCGAGACCTTTGAATAAGAGGCAAACACCGTAACCTCTAGGCCATGAGGGCGCCCTGAGAATGTTGGACGATCAGTAAATCAGCGAAAGTGAAGTAGAAGCAGCAGAGATGTTGTTTTCTTAGGAGACTGCTAGGAAGATTTTGGAAAGAAAGAACATAATATAGTGAGGTAAGAATTGAAAAAGCCCACGTGCACCGCTCGCGGATAAAAACAAGTCAGGAAAAGACAAAAGTAAATTCTGGGACCCTTGAAAAGACATAAAGGCCTCGAACATGATATCTCTCACTGGCAAAATTGAAGGCAAACGAGGTTAGAACAAGAGCAACTTACTTGGAGAGCTTAAACAGATGGGTGACAGGGAAAACTCAGGATAATGCAACTTTTTTTTTCGAGCATCCCAGTAAAGGAATGAATGGAGAACCATGATCGCTAATGTGTGTAGCAGATCATGGTCTTGATAATGATGAATTTCTTCATAGTGACAATTATCCACGTTATATCAAGCCAACCGTCTAACCCCCGTATAGAGCCAGCCACTCAGCCCCAAACTGAACCAGCCTCAGGTGTTTTTTATGTCCCCATCAACTCAATTTAGATCATTTAGAAGGCGGGCTTCGTCCCTACCCGTAAGGGACAACATGGACTGAGAGGGATACAACATGCCAGTAGGAAAAACGAGACTATTGGGTAAAAATCCCCCTTTGTGCTGTTGAGGCTAGAGAGGTGAACAGAGCAAGCCTGAATCCCCGTTTGGACTATTCTGTTGATATCCTCCCCTTGGCGTTCATATGACCATATGCAGTTGCGAGCGCCGTAAAACCTTACTAAAACTAAACTAAAAAATCCCCTCCCCCTCTTAGGAACCGAACTCGGGTTTCTTGCATTCGACAGCAAAGCGCCTTACCATTACACCACAGACCAGTGTAAGGGGTGAGAACTGATGTCATAAGGCTCAAAGAAAACTGGTTTAGTCAGTATGGAGCATCTTTTTACAATTTCAGCCATCACAGCTTGCAGTTTTATCATTTCTTTTTTCAGTACCGTATAGTTTCGTCACTCTGTCTATAGTATGCTGTTTAAAACTGTGAGCAACCACTACAACCACGACATTCTAGTGTCCCCACTGCAACAGACATTGCACATCCAGGATCGGATTGCACAGCCACATTGTCATGGCGTCCACTTGAGCTCCAGGATTCATCGTCATCTTCGGCAACGAAGGACTACCTACTCGCGTGTGTACGCTGAATGTTTTATTTTTGATGATGCCATTAAAGTGACAATTTTTATTTGGAGTCCTTTTTTATTTGGAGCCAATTTCTTGTTAATTGGAGCTTAAGAAAAATATTAATCTTAGTTGAATTGTTGTCAAGCACTGTAGTTCACACATCTGATTTGTTGTAGGTTTTGACCTCTGATTATATCTTTGTCTTCCTTAAGTTTTATTTGACGCCTCTTGAGAGAAAATGTTACTGAATGTTAAGAGATTTGACTTTAAGAAGTAATATAGGCCTAAATACATTTCATGGAAAAAGAATATTTTTGTGTATTTGTGTCATATCATGCTTAATACTAAATGTTCTACAAGAGCCGTTTACGTTGATTGTTTTGCTCGACAGAATAAACGGCAATCCCTCGCAAAACTATGAGGCAATATTTCTTTCAGTCACTGAATGAAAAAAGACATAAATTACATAAAGCAATTAATTAATTATTATCGATCCCAAAGCGCCTTGGAATGAACCTCTCCCCCCCCACCTCCAAGCCCCTCCCCCGACGGACTAAATTATTCCGAATCTTTCGAAATTTACTGAGAAGAATACAGAATATGGAGCATTGGGGCAGCCTGCCTCGAGCTAACGGTGCTCACTGTCATCCAGTGCTTGTTTTAGCTTTACTGAGTGTTTCACGTCACTTGCAACACTATCAGGTCACATAAGCGCCGAAGTTTTGAGGTGTTATCAGAGAGTGACATAGGGGCAAAAAAGGAGGAGAGATAAGAACGACAGATGTTTGAAAGGAAAGAAGGAGCAAACAACATCAGAGCACACGTCAACCACCTACATCACTCATTGTCTATAGTCCAGGACCCCTTTGATGCAGTGAGAAACTGACGGTAGAATGCATAATGGCAAGAACGCAGGTAGAATATCTGTTTTAAGGCTACACGTTGCTGTTGCTGGATTGGTAACCCGG